TCTCTCTCTTCCTCTTTCTCCCCCCCTACCCCCCCAACTCACGCTCGTTCACTCTCTCTCTCAAAATAAGTTAATTAAAAGAAATAAAAGCTCCCTAGAAAGTTAATGTCTATATAGAATATGGACTCCTGTAACTACTATTCAGAATGACATTAAAAGACATGTTTGGCCAAAATCAGGCTGAGAGCATTTACCCTCACACTGATTCAAAGAAGGATCTTTGTGAAAAAGAGAACAAACCAGGAGGAAGGGAGGGAGAGAACAATAAGCAAATAAGCTGATAAAAATGTGAGTAAATCCATGCATCAACTGTAAAGTAACAACTAATATGTATGTATGTAGATGTGTGCATCCCTGGTAAAAACAGGGTCAAGCTGAAGTCCTGGACAAAAATAGCCTGAAAGGGAAGGGGGTTGGAACTCAGGAGCTGATAATATGATTAGAACTGAAGCGTTCCGTTGTCCTTGTGTTACTTAGGAGAGCTAAGACTTTAGTAAGACAATTGGAAGTATTCAGTTTTAAGGGTGACTACCTAAAAAATATATAGAAGGTACAACTTTCCAAGGAAGATGAAGGCAGAGCTGTAACACTCACTCCAATACCAGGCAGGTTGACACAGAAAAGCATGGCAAGCAGGAAATACATCTCCTTATGTCTCACTGAGGCTGCAGACTTGGAGAGCTGGCATCCTGTCTTACTCCTAGATCATTACAGGACAGCACTTAATGCAAGGAAGTTGCTCATTAAGTGATAACATGGGGGATTTGTCTTTTGTATATTTTTTTAAAGTAGTTAACCTATTTTGAGAGAGAGAGCAAGCAAGCAGGGGAGGGGCAGAAAGGGAGAGGTGGAGAGAGAATCCCAAGCAGGCTCCGCACTGTTCGTGCAGAGCCCAACGCAGGGCTCAAACTCACCAACTGAGATCATGACCTGAGCCGAAATCAAGAATCAGACGCTTAACTGATTGAGCCACCCAGGCACCCAAGTGTTTATTTTTGAGAGAGAGAGAGAGAGAGAGAGAGAGAGAGAGAGAGAAAACACAAGCGGGGGAGGGGCAGAGCAAGAGGGGGACAGAGGATCTGAAGAGGGTTCTGTGCTGACAGCAGAAGAGCCCCAAGTGCAGCTTGAATTCATGAACTGTGAGATCATAACCTGAGCCGAAGTTGGACGCTCAACTGAGCCACCCAGATGCCCCGCTAGTAGAGACAGATTTTTAAAAACAGAACTTATATTATACAGAAACTCAGGGGCACCTGGGCAGCTTGTTTGAGCGTCCCACTTTGGCTCAGGTCATGATCTTGAAGTTCATGAGTTCGAGCCCTGCATTGGGCTCTGTGCTGACAGCTCAGAGCCTGGAGCCTGCTTCGGACTCTGTGTCTCTCTTTCCTTGCCCCTCCCCCGCTTGCTCTCTCTAAAACAAATATTAAAAAAACACACACACACACACAAAACTCAGGGGTGTATAGAAAATGATATACATCTTTAAACCCCAGAAATTTGGAGACCAAATTTTGATTAATGGCCCGATTAGCACTACTGCTTTTGTTGAGTTAATCTTGCTGAAATCTTCATTTCAATGGCCTGTAGGACATTGGTGTTGGGAGCCAAGAGTTGTGCTGTTCAACACAGTAACCACTAGCCACTGGTGACTGTTTTCTTAAAATTAAAACTAAGTAAAATTTAAAATTTGGCTCCTCAGTCACACTAGCCTCAAGTGCTCAATTGCTACTTGTGGCTGGTAACTACCGTGGTGGACAGGGAATGGAATATTTCAGTCTTGCAAAGTTTCGTTGGACAGCTTTGACTTGTCATTCCAGATTCCCAGGTGTCTTCCGGACCATTTGTCCGGCCCTTCCACCTTATCTCATGGAACTGCTGCTCTTATTTTACTACTTCAGGTGCATTCTCACTTCTCCCTGCAGCTCCACACTAACCTTTCTCAAAATGGGGAATGTGTATTTAACATTTATTAAGTGCCTACTCAGTGCCATGCAATGGGGAAAGGAGTCACACATGACTGAAATCTGAATGTTACTCCAGGTTTGGTGGCTTACAGACCTGCCTTCACTGTCACCATTCACCTGGCTCTGCCTCTAGTCCCAAAGCGCCCTCCTGCTGACCGGAAGACTGCAGACACATTACTAGCAAGTGCTACTTGGGACCCAGATCTACCCAGGGTCGATCTTCATCCAGGGCTGCATAGAAGTATTCGTCAGGGTTCCTTGTGGAGACTTAATGGCAGTAATTACATGTATATTTTTCACAAGTGTCAGTTTAAACCCTTAATCGTAACTGCTTTCATAGAATACTAAATTATACCAACACTGGGTCTGACCTTGGCTCAGAACTCTTCCCCCCCAAAAATTGGAATTATGAACTGAGTATTAAATACCAGGAAATTCTGGTCGACTTTCCCAAGTGCAAAAATGCTACTTACAAAATATTATTTTTTTAAAGTTTACCCAAACTTTAAAAGTTTTGTTTATTCATTTTGAGGTGGGGAGGGGCAAAGAGACAGAGAGAGAAGGAATCCCAAGCAGGCCCTGCACGGTCACCACGGAGCCTGATGTGCAGCTTGAACCCACAAACCATGAGATCATGACCTGAAGTCAGATGCTTAACCCTAGGCCACCCAGGCACCTCCAGAACAAAGTGCTTTATTTTTAATTTTTTTAATGTTTGAGAGAGAGAGAGAGAAAGAGAGACAGAGAGAGAGAGAGAGAGAGAGAGAGAGAACGAGTGGGGGAGGGCAGACAGAGAGAGAGACAAAGAATCCGCAAAGCAGACTCCAGGCTCTGAGCCATTAACACAGAGCCCCATGCGGGGCTCAAACTTGTGAACCAAAAGATCATGACCTGAGCTGAAGTTGACGCTCAACTGACTGAGCCACACAGGTGCCCCAATAAAGTGTTTTTAAAAGTGCAAGCTTAAGTAATTTCAATGAAGCGTCAAGCTGCTTTCAACTGCTTCCTAGCAAAAATAGAGATGAAGCAAATATTACAAACGTTATGTTACATGTAGGTGATGATAGGTGATCAATGTACAGTCTTTGAGCTTCTCTGTTTAAACTTTTCATAACAAAAAGTAGAAAAAATGTCACACCACCGGCATATCCTGTGGGCTTCAGTAATTTTGTGCTTTTTGTACGTTTGTTCCTTTTTATTGCTAAATAGTATTCTGCCATTTGGATATAGATTTTGTTTATTCATCAGTTGGTGGGCATTCAGATTGTTTCCAGGTTTGGGCTATTATGAGTAACACTGCAACCACCATTCACGTGCAGGTCTTCATGTGGGCAGCAGTGGTTCTGTAAATAAACTTAAAACATTAATGCTTGATAAGAACAGCTTGTGCTGTTCAGGCTCCATTCAGGAAGGCTGTTTTTCAAACCTTAAGTTTAATAAAGTTTAATAAAACCAGAATGACTACAATCTTCAGAAAAGTTTCTTCCAGTTAACTTAGCTTTCTGATGATGGCTTGACAACATGACATCCCTGTTTTAATGCTCAGTAGGTTTTGTTTCAGCTTTTGCAAACACAGTACAGTGAGCCTCACCATGTGTCACAGATGATTAAAGATTATGCAGGGTCTCCTAATGATTCTGTAAGACGTGGTCTGGGACCGCACTGCAGAAAACAATGTCCAGCAGAACATTAGCCAGACTGAATCTGTAACATAGCATGACATCGCTTTTACAAATAGTTCCCTGATATGTTGTTCTTTTTTCCCTAGTACTTCTGATCATCTTACTACCATTCATCAGTGCCTAACTCTATGCTGGGCCCATGACATGCTTTGACATGCTCAGGCGGCTCACGGACTAATGGCACGTGGGCGGCAATGCACTGCTCCCTTGCCATATAGCACACGGGCCTAGACTGTCCCTTAGGTCTGCTTTTAGGTCTCTTCTTTCTGTGCCACTAGTTGGTGCCAAGCCACACGTGTTACTGCCTCTCTTTAAAAACAATTCTATGGGGGCGCCTGGGTGGCTCAGTTGGTTAAGGGGCCGACTTCAGCTCAGGTCATGATCTCGCGGTCCGTGAGTTCGAGCCCCGCGTCGGGCACTGTGCTGACAGCTCAGAGCCTGGAGCCTATTTCAGATTCTGTGTCTCCCTCTCTCTGACCCTCCCCCGTTCATGCTCTGTCTCTCTCTGTCTCAAAAAAAATAAATAAACATTAAAAAAAATTTTTTTTAAAATAAAAACAATTCTACGGATCCAAGTAATTTGGCTTTCATAGCCTGATACCAGTACCAGTGGCATGCTACCAAATTCCTACACTAATTTCTATGAAGCAAGCTAACTACCTATGTCTACTTGCTCATCTGACCGAGATGCTAATACGATCTAACGTTTATCGGGGCATAATAGACATTAGACACTAATTAGGCTCTTTTTAGCAATCTTCTCAAAATTATCTATAGAATACATACTATTAGCATCTACATTTTATAACCCAGAACACTGATGTGTTTCAAAGAAGGGAAGTTGCCAAGGATGAAAAGATGATTTCCTTCAAATACTAAATATCAGTGACTTATAAACTGTGTCATTTCAGAAAATGAAAGAATTTATAAAGTTTATTTTTGCCTTAGCCAGCACATATCAAACTATTTTATTTTTTAAGTAAACTCTACACCAAACATGAGGCTTGAACTCATGACCCCAAGATCAAGAATCATATGCTCTACTGACTGAGCCAATGAGGCACTCCAAATTATCTTACCTTTTAAAAGCTAACTTTGTTGGGGCCTCTGGCAAGCTCAGTCAGTAGAGCATAAGACTCTTGATCTCCGAGTCAGGAGTTCAAGTCCTACAATGGATGTGGAACCTATTTAAAACAAAACAAAACAAACTTTGTTGTCTCTCCAACCTTTTTTTGGATCATACATTCATCTGGAGCCAACAAGCGCTCTAAAGAAAAATCTCCAAATTGTGAAGAAAACAGGCATATTTCCTTTCAGAAATATCAAAGCTAGAATGTTTAGCTTTTTTTTTTTTTTCTTCAGTGACCAGTATCTGTGCCGTGGCTAAACCTCATTGGCTATGATACTGCAGTACACCCAGGTAGAATGTTTAGCTATTAAAGAGATTCCCCCAACTAGCGTCACATCAAGTGACTGCACTGTAGTGGCTCCCGAAGAGGCAGGCTCCCTCCTTCCAAGTCACCCTCATCAGAGAACACCTACTGAGTAGCAAGCCAGAGGTTTGGACTGGAATGTCCCATTCAAAGACTCTTCAAAGTGTTCAAACCTTCAAGTTTGGCCTATGAAGGAAAAAAATCTTAATTTGGGAGTGAGAAAATAGCGCTTAAGGACCACTGCCTCCAAACCTACATTCTGCAACAGTCCAAGAAAAAAGGCCAAGTACCCATCTACCTCAGGGCTATGGGCTCCATGATGCTTGGCAGTTATCCTCAGGTGTAACTGCTTTCCAGCAAGCTTCTTCCTGGACTTCCAGGTTAAGCACGATGCCAATGCTGTCTCACAGTCATGACTATCCTCCTTTCTTTAAGAATTTTAAATGACGATACAGATCTGGTTTAATTCTTCCTTTTGCATTTATATTTGGGGACCCCTGTTTGGGCTTTTTTGTTTGTTTTATTTTTTTAAGTGGGCTCCATGCCCAACATGGGGCTTGAACTCATGGCCCTGGGATCAAGAATTGTATGCTATACTGACCGAGCCAGCCAGGGGCCCCCCTTAATTCTTCCTTTCACATTGAGATAAGACAATTGCTTCCTATACCAGTTTTATACATTCTATTAGTTTTAAGAACTATAAACAGATTGAAATTATTAAACACGAAATCTTAGGAATCAAAAATAACACAGGAGCTAAAAAGATAAAATCTTAAAAAGGGGGCACCTGGCTGCATCAGTTGGTAGAGCATGCGTCAATTGATCCTGGAGTCATGAGTTAAAGTCCCATGCTGGGAGTAGAGATGACTTAAAAAATTTTTAGAAATACCACCGGGACCAAAACCGTGGTATGAGGTAGTCAACAGTGTAGCATATGAGCACATCACCCCATCTCACCCTTCTGAGAGGCAAGGTCAGGTTATCAAGGTCCACTAGTCAAGTCCGACACAGCAACCTACACCAAGTGTCTTCTGCCATACAATTTCTGTGTAAGTCAGCTCCAGAGACTGGGACAGTGGTGCTGGGCTGGGGTGTCGTGCCCTCAGCAGCAGAATGGTATCTGGAGATTAATACTGAAAGCTGCGCTTGGTCTGGATATCATCAAGAATCTGCTGCAGCTCCTCATCTTCAAACCGCCCCTCCAGGCTACGAGAAGAAAACCAAAAGAACTAAGTGTCTCAGTGACTGACAATGTTCCCGATCTCTTTTTAACACACTGATCTTTGAGCACCGCTGTGCCCACTTCTCCATTTACCTCTAAATGCTGACACCTTTACCCTTTCAGTTGTACTTCCTGCATGTCATTCCTTTTAGAAACATTATGAAGTGTTTCAAAGATTTAAAAAAGTATAGAAAATAAGGTAACCTTAATAGTTACTCCTACTTGATTTACATTTCTTTGATAAACACAACAGAACAAATTAATGAATGGCTCTGTGTATGCTCCCTATCAAAATACCTTCCCCAGAATTAGCCATTATGCTAAATTTGGTATTTATCATTTCTATACTTATTTTATACCTATTATCTATCTCTCAAGTCATATGCAGCACTGTTTTTACACTTTATAAGAAATGGCATCATTCTATATATATCCTTCTACAATTTTCTTCACTCCAAATTCATTTTGGTATTTGATGTTATTCCAGTTCATTAATTTTTTCATTGCTATATAAATGATTTTTTTATTCATGCCCATGTTTGACAGATTATCAAGTTCTGTTACCACGAACAAAGCAGTAATGAGCACTAGAATACATGCCTTCTTATGAACTGTATGAGCTGCTTTCAGGGCATGTACCCAGGAATGGTTTTTGGGTCAGTGTATAATCATCTTTGACTTTACTAGATGTAGCTAAATTGTTCTCCAAAGTGAGTGACTGTACTAATTTGCACTCCTACCATCAGTGTATGAAAGATTCAGCTGTTCCACATTTTTGCTAACAGTTGGTGTGCTATAAAACCATCATTTTCATACCCTGTTAAAAAAGGCACTCCATTCAATGCTGATGATATCAGTCCATATTTTAAATGCACACACCATTTAGACACACTAATTCTACTTGTAGGAATCTATCCAACATACAGAACTCAGCACAGCCGGTACTAACCTTGGGATCAGAGCCTTCGACTCCTCAGCAGTCTCTGGGCAAAGGTTGGCCAAACAGGCCAACTCAAACTTATGAAGCTTCTTCTGGAGCAACAAGCTGATCACGGAGTAGAGAACCAAAACAAACAAAAATCAAAGAATGATGACTAGGAAAAAGAGAACCCAAAGGTACTTAGCAAGAAAGGTAAGCAAGCAAAGCACTTGCAATCTTTCATATAGTTTGCTTGGCTGCCAAATCACACTTTCAGATCATTTCCTGTTCTGTTCCTGGAGAACAGGAAATTACAGTGAAATCAGACAGAGGCCACAAAAGTGAGCAGAGCACACAGGGCAAGAGAAGCCCTGTCATTTTAACTTTTGAAGAACCACCATATACGCCTTAAGGACTACACAACCTTTTCCTCAGGAATTTATTTTGTTGTTCTCTCCTCCCTTGTTTGGATATTGTGACAAGGAGGAAATTCTCTTTTAAACTTATCTACAAAATAAATATAGGCAAACCTTACTTTGTACAAATATGTGTGCAAACAGCATCTTATTTTAGATGCACAGTTCTAATTCAAATTGTATAAAACACTGTCAAATCCTATCTTGGTTTTTCACACATATAGCTCTTAAAAAGAGAGCTCATCCATGGTGAATTTGGTTTCAGAAAACACCTTAAACATCTGTTCGGAAACAAAACATTTACTGTGCGTATCATTCTATTACAAGCATATTAGTTATCACACAGAATTTAGAAAATACATGACAGATAAATAAAAGCTACCCATATCACTACCTAAACAAAATCAATGTTATTATCTTAGCGTATCATTCCAAACACTTTTCTGTTTTAGAATATTCACTCATACATTCATCACTTTTTGTCACTTAAAAAGCTATATCCATTTTCTAAAGAAAATATTGTAAACTTAGTTACTTGGGAAGAGGTTTCTAAAGAAGTGTAGTGTAGGTATGTGTGTGGAGGGGTTTGTTGTAAAATGAACATATACTCATAAACAATACAAAAGATACCAAAAAGGTGAAGATAACCTGAAATCCTACCCAGAAATAACTAGTATTAACTTTTCCATGGAGATCACCTTCCCCTCCTCTGTAATTTCTTTTTTAAAACAAATGAGTCATAACAAATGTCATTCTGTGATTGGCCTTTTTCCAATCAACAACACAGCTGTTTTCCTATTAGTACACACATAACAGCACCCTGAACATGGCACTCCACTAAAAGGCTGTGCCATAATTTATATATCAAATTTCCTGCTGGTGAACATTTCAACTGTTTCAATTATTCATTTTAAGTAACGCTTTTTGAACATTATGTGTACTTCTTTGTGTATTTGATCGATTACTGTGTGATTTAGTTTTGGTTACTGTGTATTTTTTTTAAAGATTTAATTTTTAAGTTCTATGCCCAACATGGGGCTTGAACTTACAACCCTGACATAGAAGGTTGGCTGCTCCACCAACTGAGCCAGCCAAGTGCCCCAATTACTGTGTGTTTTAAAGATAAATTCCTCTGGGGCGCCTGGGTGGCGCAGTCGGTTAAGCGTCCGACTTCAGCCAGGTCACGATCTCGCGGTCCATGAGTTCGAGCCCCGCGTCGGGCTCTGGGCTGATGGCTCAGAGCCTGGAGCCTGTTTCCGATTCTGTGTCTCCCTCTCTCTCTGCCCCTCCCCCGTTCATGCTCTGTCTCTCTCTGTCCCAAAAATAAATAAACGTTGAAAAAAAAAAAGATAAATTCCTGGAAGTCAAATTATCCAGAGGATATGAATGTCTTTAAGTTTATTTATTTTGAGAGAGAGAGGGAGGGAGGGTGAAAGGGATAGAGAGAGAGAACAAGCAGGGGAGGGGCAGAGAGAGAAGGGAACAGAAGATCCGAGAAGTGGGTTCTACGCTGACAGCAGAAAGCCCAGCATGGGGCTTGAACTCAGGAACTGCGAGATCGTGACCTGAGCCAAATTCAAGAGTCAGACGCTTAACCGAGTCACCCAGGAGCCCCTTTTTCTAATCTTTTCAAATCTACTTAGCTCTTCTACCATTTTTTGATTTCCTTGAAGATAAGCATAATTTCATGTGAATTAGCTAGCCATTTAAAGTTCTGATTCAAATCAAGCCTCTAATTGGAGACGGTGTCCATTTTCAAAAACTGGTGTCACCTCTTTCTTAATTATTTGCTGGGAGTTTTCAATATTAAGAGAATATTAAGGATACCAATTCTTTCCCTGTTTATACTTATATTTTGCATACGGCATTTTATTTGATGTAGGGGAGTTTAAAGATATTTATACAAATTCTTTTGTTTATTCAGTATTTATTTAGTGCCCACAATGAGTCTGACAGTGATGAATATGACCAAGTTCCTGCCCTCACAAAGCTTATATTCAACTGAAATCACTCAAGTTTCCCCACATTTAAAGTCCTACTAACCACAGCCAAAATAATACATATATTCACTCACATTGTCACATAACACTTTTATTCGCCATGGTTTATATTCCAATCCTTAATTCCTGAGGAATTAAATTCGGTGTAAGATATAGTGTTCAGGGGTGCCTGGGTGGCTCAGTCAGTTAAGTGTCCAACTCTTGGTTTCGGCTCAGGTCACGATCTCACAGTTTGTGAGTTTGAGCCCTGAGACAGGCTGTGTGCTGACAGGGCAGAGGCTGCCTGGCAATCTCTCTCTCCCTCTCTTCTCTGCCCCTCCCACACTCTCTCTCAAAATAAATAAATAAACCTTAAAAAAGGGGGAGGGGGTATGTGCCTGGGTGGCTCATTCGGTTAAATGTCTGACTCTTGGTATCAGCTTGGGTCATGATCTCAGTTTGAGGGACAGAGCCCCATGTCAGGCTCTGTGCTGACAGCATAGGGCCTGCTAAGGAATCTCTCTCTGCCCCTCCCCAACTCAAAATAAATAAACTTTAAAAAATGTGATATAGTGTTCAAACTTTGTTTTAAAGTATTTCCCCACTAACCTACAATGCCATATACTGGACTCACACAAAATATGATAGAATTGTATTTGAATTTGTTGTCATTTACGACAAATTCTTCTTCATTTTTCTTAGAAAATTTTTTCTGACAATTCTTACAATATTAAGATCATTTTATTAGGGCCCCCCCCCGGCCCCTCCATTTCCTTGAGGCTGCAGAATGGCACTAAATATATACAGTAATTTGGGGAGAACCAACATGTTTACAATCCTGAGACCATTTATTCACAAAGGTATAAGCCTACCTTCATCTACTCAGGTCACCTCACAGGCCCAACACTGCACACTCCCCTCCCATCTTTCCTCAGTGTGTACACCCACACCTTCTAGAACAGACTGTATACTTCAGATACAATTTTATCACCTTCATTTTCTGCACACTTAACATGTCAACATCTTTCATTTGCTACAATTTTTTTTAAATTTTTTTTTAACCTTTATTGATTTTTGAGACAGAGAGAGACAGAGCATGAATGGGGGAGGGTCAGAGAGAGGGAGACACAGAATCCGAAACAGGCTCCAGGCTCTGAGCTGTCAGCACAGAGCCCGATGCGGGGCTCGAACTCACGGACTGCGAGATCACGACCTGGGCCGAAATCAGACACTTAACCGACTGAGCCACCCAGGTGCCCTGCTACCACAATTTTAATAACAATATAGTAGTTCACCAAATGATTTACTACTTTATTTATTTAATTACTATTGAATATTTAGGTTGCTCTTCTTTTTTTTTCTTTTTACCATTGGCTATTAGAAATATCTCCCTGAAAAGCATGTGTATATACATCTTTTTTGTACACTTGCTTTTCCTAAGGACAGTACTTCTCAAACATTTTCTCTGGAACAGAGCAAACAAGTACCCCTAGGCAACCTGGGCGCATGGGCTCAAATGACTTTCTGCATCTACAAGTAGGGTTTTAAGTCTTGTAATTTAATTCAAGAATTTATACACAGTTTTTGTTTTACTCCACAGTATGCTGGTATCTGTTTGTTTTAATGTAGAAATGTTTTAAAATCACCTACCATTAAATTAAACTGCTACTTGAGGAAGATGTTTCTCCTGTGGCCTGCTATGTGCCCCAGAGCATCACTGTTTCCCAGGTTACATCCAACTCAATTTGAGAAGCAATGCCTTGGGAAAAAATGCTAAAATCCACCCTCTGAAAGGTACAGCTCCTGATTTATATTTACAAACATATAAAGATCTTGAGGGGAGCCTGCGTGGCTCAGGTCATGATCCCATGGATCATGGGCTTGAGCCCTGCGTCTGGCCCTGTGCTGACAGCTGGAGCCTGGAGCATGCTTCAGATTCCGTGTCTCCCTCTCTCTCTCTCCCCCTCCCCCTCATGCTCTGTCTCTTTCTCTCAAAAATAAATAAACATTAAAAACAATTAAAATTAAAATACAAAAAAAAAGATCTTGAAGACATTTCAGGTGAATAACAAATAAATAAGCCCATTTTATTAAAACAACCACCATCACAAATCACTTATGTGTTGTTTATAGGTGTATATATGTATGTGAATGCATGGAAAAGATCTGGAAGAATAACAAACTGCCAATAGTGGTTACTGTACAGGATGACCACGGGGATTTCAGGTACCGGAAAAGGTGATTGAAGAGCATTTTGGTGATCAAAGAGCCGTTTTTAAATTTCTGACAAAGACATTATTTTTCTTACATTCATGGTATAGATGATGCCCATTGGGTGCTGGTGCTGGTGGTGCTGGAGGCAAAAGTATTTTACGCTCAGACATCCACGAATTTGGATTAATAAAAACTTTCCTTTAGCACTCACCTGCGGACACTGGCAATAGTCTCTCTGTTTTTAAAACGACTGAAACGGGCTGTGTAATTTAAAGTTTTCATGAAGACCTCAGAAAGTTCCTGTTCATCCTCTGCACTCTCATTCTGTTGCTTTCGATGCTCCAGAAGCATGTGAACTTCTGAATTTAGTAGTGTCTCCGCTGTTTCAAACTCTATTTGTGAGAAGCACAAATGTCAGCTGAAAATATTCCTTCAAAAGACAGCTTCTAAATGTTCATTTTGCTTTCGAGATTAACAGCAAGTTTGCGTCCCTGCATAAATCCAGAGGCCTCATATCCCACAGCTTCACCTTCAGCCAGACCTGCCTACCACAAGGCACAGAAGAATTCATGAGACTAAAATTTAGTTCAGTGGGGCCAGACAGTTTCTAACATCAAAGAACCTGACCTGGACGTGCTATTAAATAATGACACGTCATTATCCTAATTAGGCCAGTTACTGATTCCAAAAGGGAGCCAACAATTATAACCAACAATTATTTCTCTTTAGCTTGCATGAGCTCCTAATGTAGTTCCATAATACTAATACTATACCCTCAATTTTAATAATTATTACACATTAGGGAGGGCCAAGGGTTTGGAAACACACAATAATGCACCCCCAATTCTATTTTAGTACCTGAATGAATCTATTATCTACTCATTCACCCAGATCACGTACTTGGCATTGGGCCTGAGGCCAGAAGTCCCTACTCCCTACCTTCCAGGTTTCATAGTCTTATGTAGTTTACCAACTAAACCTATTTCAAATATTTACCATCACACAAATCTCCTGCCCTTGATACCTATTTATTTTTTTAGTTTCAAGTTTCTTAAGTTCTAGTGAGTTAACATACAGTGTAATACTAGTTTCAAGTATATAATTTAGGGATTCATCACTTATACATGACACCCAGTGCTCATTACAAGTGCCCTCCTTAATACCCATCACCCATTTAACTCATCCCCCCGGTCCCACTTCCCCTCCAGCAACCTTGTTTTTTTTTCCTGTAAAGAGTCTGTTTTCTGATTTGCCCCTCTTTTTTTCTTTTCCCCTATGTACATCTGTTTTGTTTCTTAAATTCCACATATGAGTGAAATCAGTGTCTTTCTCTTATGGCACTTAGCATTATACTCTCTAGCTCCATCCATGTCATTGTAAATAGCCAAGATTTCAATCTTTTTATGGCTGAGTAATATTCCACTGAGTGTGTACGAGTGTGTATGCACACATATATATTATATATATATGCACATGCCACATTTTTATCTATTCATCATGTGATGGACATTTGGGCTCGCTCATTTAAAATAATCCTCATTCAGGGCGCCTGGGTGGCTCAGTCTGCTGAGCATTTGACTTAGGCTCAGGTCCTGATCTCATGGCTCATGAGTTCGAGCCCCACGTTGGGCTCTGTGCTGACAGCTCACAGCCTGGAGCCTGCTTCAGATTCTGTCTCCCTCTCTCTCTGCCCCTCCCCCACTCATACCATGTCTCTGTCTCTCAAAAATAAATAAACATTTAAAAAAATTTTTTTAAATAATCCTGTCGGTTGAGCATTTGACTTTGGCTCAGGTTATATATAATCTCACGGTTCATGAGTTCAAGCCCTGCATGGGGCTCACTGGTATCAGCCTGACAGCGCAGAGCCTGCTTCAGACCCTCTGTCCCCTCTCTCTCTGCCCTTGCCACACTTGCTCTCAAAAATAAAAAATAAACATTAAAAAAAATCCTCTTGGAGCACGTGGGTAGCACAATCAGTTAAATGTACAACTCTAGATTTTGGCTCAGGTCATAATCTCAAGGTTTGTGAGTTCAAGCCCCACGCTGGAGTCTACACTGGCAGCATGGAGCCTGCTTGGGATTCTTTCTCTCTGCCCTTCCCCTGCTTGTGCCCTCTTTCTGAAAACAAACTTAAAAAAAAATTATAATAATCCTCATGAACAGTAAGAATACCAGTAAGCAGTCTTTAAAAACTAGTTTTAAAAGAAATAAATAAAAAAACTAGGTTTTTTCCATAATATATGGCGAACTTTCCCTATATTTTCAGAATAACATTATCTCCTTGGGAAACCAGTGTCTCCCTTGCATCCCACAGGAACATACATTCCTAATAATTATTATAAAGTATTAGAGCTGGTTTCTGCCTTTTCTTTATCAGGGAGTTCCTCCAGAGTAGGAACCATTCATAAACATGGATTCATGTTTCTAATCCCACACTGATGAAGACTAATGAGGAAAACCCAAAATTACATGCAATTTAGCATTTCCATGGGATCTGGGTATGTTTACTCTCGGGAAATCACTAATACCACTATCAGAGGGGTGGCCCCCCTCTCTCGGGCCAGGTGACAAGAGCTCCACTCTGCTTCCACAACAGTCTGTGCTGGGGGAGGGTGGCAGCAGGAGGAAACAGTATTTTTACTTGCAAGGTTCTCATTACTTCTGAATCTAAAAGGCACCAAAAAGCTATTTTCTACTCGAGGTCAGCAGAATTTGAACAAGAGGAACTCAGAGCCAATTCCAGCCCAGATCACTGCCTGTTACTCACTGGTGAAGTGATGTACAAGTGAAGAAACTACTGCTTTCAAAGCAATGAGCTGAGAAAGCAGTAAATATTAGGAGCATAGGACTCCACATCTCTGAAGTGACAGTCACAAGTGACATAAGAGAAAAAAAAGCAGCAGCAGCTAAAAAGTGGGTTAATCTCAACTTCTGAGGCTGCATTGATACAGACTCAGAAAATGGAAATCAGGGGCATCTGGGTGGCTCAGTTAGTTAACCATCTGACTCTTGGTTTCAGCTCAGGTCATGATCTCACGGTTTCTAAGTTCCAGTCCATGCTGACACTGCAGAGCCTGTTTGGGATTCTCTTATTCCCTCTCTCTGCGCCTCCCCCACTTGTGGGCAAGCTCTCTCAAAATAAACAAACTTAAAGAAAAAAAAAGAAAATGGAAACCAATAGGCTAAACAAGAATTACTAGTAAGAATCATCTCCATGTTTGTTACAGCTATTGCTGCTTTTAAGGCTCCTGGAAAATTGGCCAAGTAAGATATGCCTCCCTTTCCATACCAAGCAAAATTTACCTGTTAAATGTAACAGAACAGAACTGTCAGAACACCAGGAAGTCACCTGTTCCTATTCTTTACTGAGGGTAATGTCCAAGTACTATTTATACATCACTTTCACTCCTTTCAAACAATGAAAGGTCAAAGCAGCCAAACTATGCATGTTACTCTTCCTCTGTACTGATCTTTTAAGAACCATAGCCACAATTTATTAATCCAAATTATTTATCAATTCATCCAAATTATTTATCAATTCCTTCCTATAAGAAGGAAAAATATTCCTTGACCAGTACCTCAACTGGGAATTTTCTTTTTTATTAAAAAAAAAAAAATTAATGTATGTTTATTCTTGAGAGAGAGCGAGAGAGGGAGTGCGCACGCGTGCACAAGCAGGGTAGGGGCAGAGAGGGAGATACAGAATCCGAAGCAGGCTCCAGGCTCTGAGCTGTCAGCACAGAGCCTGATGCAGGACTCGAACTCAGAAACCATGATATCATGACCTGAACTGAAGCTGGACACTTAACTGAGCCACCCAGGGGCCCCTCCACTGGGAATTTTGAGGACGCTTCATTACAAACATTATGATAAAGGTAGCAATTTCAGATGGTCTTCTACTACAATATTTTCTCTCTAGTACAAAATATTCTAGGGGATTTCTTTAATTGAGGGAGGGAGGGACTGGGATCATACAAACATTTTTGGAAAAAATGGCTTACTTACTAGTTTTTTCAGTAGAATTGCTGTTAATTATATCACATGGATAAAGGACAAATTGTATTTTCAGGCAAACATGCTGTGAAAACTACCACTACAAACTCTCAGATGCTTTCAGTTGCCTCATGCATTCTTTCTGTCCTACAATGAATTAGCACGCATTTGTTTGCTTGCTATCTACAGCAAAGGCTTTCCTTAACTTTTAAGTACTTACTGTTGTTTCTATACATCTTCACATTTTTTTTTAAGTCAAGTCTACCCCCAAAATAGGGCTTGAATTCACAACCCCCAACATAGAGTCAAATGTTCTACTGGCTGAGCAAACCAGGTGCCCGCATCTTCACATGTTCTAAACTACATAATAAACACTGTGTCCACCCCCCCAAATATGAGCTGAGAAGTTAAAGATAAGAGATATTCAGAACTCTGACATACCATTACTTGACAGAATCTAAGATCTAATTATACCAAATTCAATAAAATTTTCATGTGTACCAGATGCTACTTGCCTTTATCAAAACAAATATTTTCAGAGTGTAAAAAATAAAAAGGACCTAGATAAAACCCAAGTACAAGTACAATAAGCTTTATCATACTTTAAGAAAGCATCTCTGTCTCAGTTATTACACTTAAACACACACATACACACACACACACACACACACACACACACACACACACACACACATTCTATTCTGCCAAAAACTTCTATGAAGCTATCCTATGGAAATTTGACCTTGAGCCTATGAAATAAAAAACTGGAAGCCACCTATATGCTTATCAACAGATAAATAGTATTATGGTAAACCACTAAGTATATCCGGCCCTTTAAGAGAATAAGACAGGAGTGCCTGGCCGGCTGAGTCAGCAGACCAAGCAACTCTTGACCTCCAGGCCATGAGTTCAAGCCCCACGATGGGCCTGGAGTTTAAAAACAAAACAAAAACAAAAAAGTTCTACACAATATATTGTCAAAAAATTTCTTTATTAAAAGAAAATTTTTTTTAATGTCTATTTATTTTTGAAAGAGAGAGACAGAGCACGAGCGGGGAGGAGCAGAGAGAGAGGGAGACACAGAACCTGAAGCAGGCTCCAGGCTCTGAGCTGTCAGCACAGAGCCTGACTTGGGGCTGGAACTCATGAACTGTGAGATCATGACCTGAACCGAAGTCGGACGCTTAACTGACTGGGTCACCCAGGCACCCCTACCGTCAAAATTTTTAAAGGCTGTAACACTTCTTTTGTATAATCTCATTTTTACAAAGAAAAATAGTGTATGTATATATTAATAAATAAACATAAAATTAGTCTGGAAGGATAAGCACTAAATTGTTTACAGTAGTTTCCTCTGGGTGAAAAGGGTGTAGAGTTTCAGTTTTTATCGTGGATATAACAATTTTAAAATTATTGGGTAATTTTAAGGTTATTGTTAAGGTGGATACTATGAAGATTTAGTTTGCATTTTCCACTATCTGTAAAATATGGTTATTTTAAAATCTTAAGCTTCTTGCCTATTTTTGGCTTCTAAATTACAAATAAAGTACATCAGCTAACATTAACAACTCAGGCAACAGATGTTGGTGACAATGTGGAGAAAGAGGATCTCTTTTGCACAGCTCATGGGAATGCAAACTGGTGCAGCCACTCTGGACAACAGTATGGAGGTTCTACAAAAAATTAAAAATAGAACTACCCTACGACCCAGCAATTACACTACTAGGTATTTATCCAAGGGATACAGGTGTGCTGTTCCGAAGGGACACATGCACCCCGATGTTTATAGCAGCACTATCAACAATAGCCAAAGTATGGAAAGAGCCCAAACGTCCATCAGCAGATGAATGGATAAAGAAGATGTGGTATATGTATACAATGGGGTATTACTCGGCAATCTAAACCAATGAAATCTTGCCATTTGCAACTACGTGGATGGAATTGGAGGTATCATGCTAAGCGAAATTAGTCAAAGACAAAAATCATATGACTTCACTCATATGAGGACTTTAAGACACAGATGAACACAAGGGAAGGGAAGCAAAAATAACATAAAAACAGGGAGGGGGACAAAACACAAGAGACTCTTAAATATGTAGAACAAACAGAGGGTTACTGGAGGGGTTGTGGGAGGGGGAATGGGCTAAATGGGTAAGAGGCATTAAGGATTCTACTCCTGAAATCATTGTTGCACTATAACCTAACTAACTTGGATGTAAATTAAAAAACTAAAGTTAAAAAAAAAAGGGGGGGGGGGGGAATTACAAATAAAATACACCACACTGCACAAAGGAAGTTCCCTGACAGTAAAATGTGCTGTACTTGTAGGTAGTCCTCTGACAAAGGCTCTCCTTGACCCAAACTCTAGCCAGGCTCCTGAGCCCTCCTTTTGGGACTCAACCTTGGCCCAGAAAGACTTTAACAAAACACTAACATAATTTCTAACAGCTCAAGGCCATGTTCCTAGGATGACCTTAGCCCCTTTAAAGCTCCTGCCTCTGAAAACCAAGTCTGCCCAAGAAATTTACTGTTTGTCCCAGCCAACACCTGAAGGTAGGGACTCCGTCAGTTCACAGTAAGAGCTGTGGGAGAGGAGAAGTCTAACTCTTGCAAGCGCCAGTTAACAAAACCAAATGGGTTTCAAATCGACCAACCCCCCCTTCCCGGTTTTTGTAATTTTTCACTTCCCTGATCCTATGGAGACCCCACTCACCTCCTCCCCATTTCTTTATTCTGCCTATAAAAGGCCCAGTCACTCTGCACACATCGGAAGTTCAGTCCACGCTAGTCTCTTTTTCCTTTTGCAACCTTACATTACCTTTTTTTTTTTTTAATAGGCTCCTTGCCCATTGTGGGGCTTGAACGCATGACCCTGGGATCAAGAGTCGCATGCTCTACTGGCTGAGCCAGCCAAGCGCCGTTGGAATGGCACATTAATGATTAATGATGATGTCCTTACCACTTTAACTAGTGTCGCTTTGTTCATCCTTGCCACATTCCTGCAGCACTTCGCAGTTTATCGGGTAAATTACTTAAACGAGTAGCAAGAGGCTGCTCAGGGGTGGCGTGGAGCGGGGCGCCCACGGTTCCAAGGCAGCAGGCGTGGAATCCGACTGGCCCCTCTAGAGGTACAGTGGCCGTGCGGGCCCAGGCCCCTCCCACGGCCGCATCCCCCATCCTCCCTGCCAGTCTCCTAGCCGGGAACCCGCCCAGCTGTCCGCCGCGGCCTCGGGCGAGGCACGGGGCGACGCCAGGTTTGCGGCGACCACGCGGGACAGCGGGGGCAGTCGCGCAGCCCCAGCCCCACCTTTGGGAAAGATAAGCTGTGAGGCATCCTCCTCTACGTCGCCGGCCCGCGGATCGCTACCTCCGGCCGCCATAGCCACGAAACGCCACACCACGTCGCGCGTCCCACTCACACCGCCGGAAGCGGAAGCGCGGGTCCCGGCCACGGAAGGGGCGTGGTCGCAGAGGATGGGGTGGGCTTCCACCCGGAAGCTGGTGGGGGTGGCGCGGCTCTCTGGGATGCCCAGGCGGACAAAGGCGACGGAGTCCCGGAGCTTTTTGGGGAGTCGAGGGTCCCTTTGTCGCGCGTCCTCGGACTGGTCAACTGACCTTTCTGAGCCTCAGCTTCCTCGCCTGTCGTAAGGCCTGCTTCCTAGAGCCGGAGGAAGGATTAGATGAAACGCGGGAACCCTAGGAACTCCTCTTGATGGAAAGCTGGGTTAGTGACGCCGAAAACACAGTGGAATTTCTTTGAACGCTTAAGTATTTTAAAAAATGTGATCGATTTGTAGTGAATTATTCTGATACTTCTGAGCACGTGGGAAGTGATACTGAGAGACCTTTAATACATCTGTTGGAACGTTTGGATGATACACAGAAATGTAAGCAAATGAAAAACGATGCTGTTTTCGGCTTGAGAGAAAATAGAAGATTGTACAACAAAGGAAGGAATTAGTGCATTATTTGTCTCTGTGGTGAACAGTGTTTAGTTGTCCTTTAAACTGTGTTTACAAATGATGAATTAAGGGGCGCCTTGGGTGGCTCAGTCGGTTAAGCCTAAGACTTCACATGTCATGATCTCCCAGTTCATGGGTTCCAGCCCCACATCTGGCTCTCTGCTGTCAGAGCAGAGCCTGCTTGGGACCCTCTGTCCCCCTCTCTCTCTTCCCCTCCCCTGATCACACGTGCTCTCTCTCTCACACACAAAAATAAATCAACATTAAAAATATATATATTACTTGACAATATGTAATCTGTGTTCTTTTGATTTATAAATATAGTAATTTTTACAAAATTAATTTGCTGTATATCTGTATTTCCAGAAGAAAATTACTGGGTAAAATAATATTAGGTTACATAGCATAGGCAGACTGTTTGAAAATGTTTTCCTACATGGTTCATTGGATGCGCAGGACAAATGTCCTGATGAGGAATCTGAGGACATGCAGCAGCTGGGTGTGGGAAATGGGCCTGGAACTCAGTATAGGCCTTCTTCCATCTGTCCAACCAACAGGCCATTAAGAGCACCAAATACCTACTGGACCTTACCATGTGCTGACCCAACATCAAGCTGGATACCCAACACTTGGTATCTTCTATATACACACAGCAGGAAAGAAGTGAACAGGTGAAGAAAGTAAGGAGAGAATTAATGCACACTGTGATGTTTGCAAGGTGGATGGTCTACAACATTTTCATTCAGGAAACATTTATAAACACTCATGTGGAAAGCCCTGGGGTTAAAAAGATGATTCAGTCATAAATATGTCACCACAAGATGACCAAAAGCAGCTGATGCAAAATCTGGACTTATTTTCCATAATAAAAGACAGAAAATGGCAAGTGGTCAGAGAAAAGAAAGTGAAAGAAAATGCTATAGAAAGACTCGTAGTGCGGCGCCTGGGTGGCTCAGTCGGTTAGGCGTCTGACTTCAGCTCAGGTCATGATCTCACAGTCTGTGAGTTCAAGCCCCGCATCCGACTCTGTGCTGACAGCTAAGAGCCTGGAGCCTGCTTCAGATTTTGTGTCTCCCTCGCTCTCTGCCACTCCCCTGCTCATGCTCTGTCTTTGTCTCAAAAATAAAAACATTAAAAAAAAATTTTTTTTTAAGATACATAGAGAAAAAAGTTACTTGTGGTTGGGGGTAGGTGAGTCACAAGAGATCTGAGGAGCAGGGGTGGGCACTGGAACTGTTCTTTAACATTTAGTCAAAACAGATGGGGGGTAGTAACATGAATGAAATTATCAGGTACATAAGAGGAATATTCACTCTGAGGTAAATTCATATTTCAATTTCCTTAAATGTCATTTTCATCATATAATTCTTGGGAAATGAAGGAAAACACTATACAGAACTTACGCAAACACGTTTGCTGTAATACATATTTTATTAATGTTGCTCTACATTTTTTTCAACCAAAATAGTAATTTATAACTTTTGTAACCTTTTGGTCTGCTTCTCAAAGAATCTCTTGTAGACTGAATCACTAATGTCTTTCCTGGACCCGGGTATTCTGCCATTAATATAGTATGCTGATATGTTTCCCACTTCTCCCTATATTCAAAGTTAATGTTAAGAATTTCCCAATTTCATCTATTCTCTCAAAAATTAAAAAAAAAAAAAATCTTGGCACCCGCTGCTGGAAGTCGCCTGGTAAGTGTACAAAGGAAACCAAAGGAATAAACACGTGACCCCCTCCCTTTCACTATTAATACAATCTCTAGAGATACAACGGAATGGGGATGTGGGGATGTGGGGAGGTTATGTAACTGTGCAAACCACCCTTGCCTTCCAGGTACAACAACTTCCTGGAGGCTGCCCTGAGAGTCCCACTCTTGGATTCTAAAGCCCGTCTGGGCAGTTGTGCCCTGTGTTGGAACTGTTCTGAAAAGCCCTCTTGAGGGCTTGAGGTCAAGCTGGGCTTACTTCAGCACCCACCCCTTTCAGAAAGCCTGTCCTGACCTGAAGGTCTGAGCATAGTTATGCTTCCTCCTCCCACATGTCCAGAGTAGCTTAGGGGTCCCAGAGGTTTTGATACTTGCCCAGTGGTCCCCATCTACATCTGACATTGGATGACAGTCCAGATAGTTATCCAGCCATTGCAACAGTACACTGGGGCCTCGGCAAAGCCTTCCTGGCAGGTTACCTTGGAGGTTCACAGCCCTGTCACAAAGCAGAATGTTTGGCTCAGAGTAGTAACTAGCTGTCTGGCTCATAAATGGCAGAACCAAGATTTGAGCTCAGGCCTAGCAGACTGCCAGCCTAAAGATTCCAGTATCAGCATCCTTGGTTACTTATTTGGTCAGAAACCAGGGTGGGATCAAAGAAGGAATGGCCATACTGGGGATGGCAGGTGGGAGGCTGGATTCGCAGCAGGAACCTGAGCAGCTGACAGGATGAATTTGAAACCTCTCTCTGCTGTTTGGTTCCCCTAGCAATAGGTACAGTCTTGAAACTGGAGGGGTCACTTATTTTTTAATTTGCTCTAGCATACAGAACCTCATGGAAACAAAGTAAGCAGAGGGAAGAGATCCTAAAATCCTTGTCAGAGCTTCATTTCAGAATGAGGAAAACACTCAGAAGGGACAGCACTTGCATTACATTCCTCAGGACACTACTATGGTTCTTTGTGCAGTGTTGGTTCAGAGTCAAGTCCTTCAAGTATCTCAAAGCCAGGTCTTCAATCGAGGTCAGACCCAGAGTGATCTGGAAGAAGCTTTAGAGCACTTACCCCACCTCCACTTCCACAAGAAATAGCCCTGCCGATCTCTGATCAGGTGGCTTAGTTCACATTTCAAGACTATAGGGACAGCTAAAATAGCAAATGTTGGGTTATGCACGTTTAACTACCACCACCTACCACCCACCCCCCAATCCCAAAAACCCACAATGATGTGGCATCCCATGCTGTTTAACTGCAGGCGATAGTATAACACACAGCAATTTCTAGAACCAGAATTTCTCTTTAAGAAACAGAGAATCCCTTTCACACCCTGCAGTGTTACTACCAATTTCTGTGTTTAACCAGTTGCTTGTAGTCTATTTCCAAATTATCCAGCCCTGACAGCACGTTATACCTGTAGCCACAGGCTTATGAGTTCTGCTAAGGGTAAGGGCCGCAGAACTGGGTATCTTAAAAACAAAACAAACAAAAAACCATCCTTGCAAATAAAGATTTAAACTTAAGACAGACAGTCCAAACACATGTGTATTTGTATGTTTGAAAAACTGTTCTGGGCCATTTTCTTCAAACACTTCGCCTCTTTTCTGGGCCGTCCAAAAGTAATGAATGTTTCCCTTTAAGGTTAGACAACACCAAGAGGCACCTGGGTGACTCAGTTAAGCATTCAACTCTTGGTTTTGGCTCAGGTCACGACCTCAGAGCCCCACGTCAGACTCTGTGCTGACAATGTGGAGCCTGCTTGGGGTTCTCTTGCTTTTCCTCTCTCTGCCCCTCACTGGTTCATGCTCTCTCAAGATAAACAAACTTAAAAACAAACAAACAAACACAACATCGTTAGACCACACCAATATGTCCCAGGGCTTTTGCTTGGATTAAGGTCACCCAATGATAGCTTCAGTTAGAGCATTACTGCCCTGACCCCTTGCTTTTAGCTTTTTTGATAATATCAGTTATAAAAGAAAATCTGATGAAAACTATGAACCTTCTTTCTAGAAAAATCCAAATTTTAAAGGGTTCATGAACCTCAGTTCAGGAAATTTGGTTCTAAAAAGCCAGTGGCACTGCTACCAGCCCCACAAAAAAATGCAAGTGTAAATAAAAAAATACAATGAGGATCATGATGGACACCATGCAACCATGCTGGCTGACTGAACACCATCTGCTGGCTCAGTCCAAAGAATGTGTGAATCTTGGTCTCGGGATGGTGAGTTGGGGCTCCATGTTGGTTGCAGAAATTACTTAAATACACTAATAAACTTAAAAAGATGAATGTTACTACTATTCTAAAAAAAAAAAAAGGCAGGACAAAGAACAGTTTTTACCCATTATGATTTATTCTCTACAATACTTCGTTAAAGAGTTCAATGATTTGCACTCAGAAGTTATATAGCCAAGAGGCAACCAAGTGTAATACAAAGAATTGGTCTGAAGTCTTTGCACTGAAGGCCATACAAAGTCTCTTGCTTCAGGGAAGTTAAGAATCAAAATAAACAAAACGAACACATAGCTCCCTAGGCTCCAGAATCTCGATAGAAAAGAGCATCAACAGTTAGTGAAAGTGTAGGTGTTAACACATCATGGAAAACAGGTCTTGTGCAAATATTAAAATTAACACCCAGGACTTCTGTATAGATGATTTTTATTATAAACAATAAAATATATGTAATGTCTCAACTACAAACCTTTCATGTTGAAAGGGTCTCTAACATGAGTTGCTTTAATATTATGAAGCAAAAAAGTTTAAGA